CTTTCTTTCTTTCTTTCTTTCTTTCTTTCTTTCTTTCTTTCTTTCTTTATCATCTATCTCTATTAACTATCTATCTATCATCTATTATCTGTCTAATCTCCTATTGCTCTTAAATAATGTTTCTCTGAAGAACACTAGTACATAATCAAATTATCCTTTGTTCACACAACATCCTTGCAACCGTGACTTCTTTAAAATAAATGTATAAATGGTTTTTCATTTTCAGAAAAGTTTGTGTGCTGCAGAACTCTGCAGATGTTATCTGCCTCACATAGGAAAGATCAGGCCCATCCATCACTGTCTCAGGAATTAGTGTTCAATCCTGAGCTGGCGGGTCCATAGCTGGAGGATAACCAAGGTTTTGGCAAAATGTCTCTGGGAAGATTGAGCCTAAGGAACTCTAGTTCAGCCCTGAAAATTTCAAGGGAAAGTTTATATTTCAGCGCTAATAACACCTTTTGTTAACAAGAGTCAGGAGGTAAAGGAAGAGGCATCTTTTGAATACTTCCTCGAGTTTTGAAAGTATGCTTACTGCTCTCAAACAATGTGAGAGTTGAGAAGGGGTGTGCCTGGATGAGGGGAAGGCAAGAAGCCAGTTTGTAGCTGGTATGTCATATCAAATATACTATAAGCCTACTGCTGTTTTTGAAGACCAGGTTTTAATTTTTTTTTTTCAGGACAGTTTTAATTTTGGTTATTCTGTCCTATGATGAGATTATGTGTTGGGATATGTTTCCAAGTTTTTGGCTGAGAAAATATGGTTATCTTATCATATTATTTCAGTGATTTCCTTTCTGTCTCTACGATTTCCTTCATCTTATTCTTCCCAGTTAACTTGGCTGGCCTCTTACCTTCTCCTGTGCCCTTCCAGATTATGACTTTCATTTAATGCCTGTTTCAAATTGTACCATTCAGGGTGCAATAAGACCTTCACGGGCCTTAGATGCTTTTGTCTTCATGAGCTCCTTCTTTCATTAAAAAAACTTTTTTTGAATTTATTTTGCATCCTTGTTGGTAGAAAGAAATATAATCCACGCAGGAGTATCTACTAATTTTCCCTTTGATTTTAAAAGGAATTCAAAGCTTCTCATGGGCCCCTTAAAGTATGGGCCCTGGGCACTCTGCCTCCTGATCCTGCTGGATAAAAAACTGTCCCTGTTTCTTCCATGAAAATACCCTGTATACATGCCTCTCCTCTTACCTTACTAGCATTAACACACACTCTTGACACAGAGAAACTCAAATTCAAATCTCAGCTTCTTTACTTTTTAACTATAAACCAGAGCAAGTGATTCAACCTTTCTGAACATAATTTTCCACCCTCGTTTAATTCTTACCTCATACAGTTGTCACGGTAACATGAGATCGTGCATATACAATGCTTAGTACCTGGTCCATGGCAAATGCTTGTACTTGGTAGCTATTTCTACTTAATCAGACTTTGGTCACTAACTATCTTGATTTAAATATTACACAATTATCTACCCTTTCCCTGATATAAACTCCCAGAGGACTGCGAGTGAGTTTTAGACCAGTAGTTCTCAAACTTTAGCACGCATCCGAATAAGCTGGAGGAGGTGTTGAAACAGGGATGGCTGGGCCCCACTCCAAGTTCTTGATTCAGGAGGTCTGGAGTGGGACTGGTAATTACCCACGTGATGCTGAGGCCACCGGTTTTTAGACCACACTGACAGAATCACTGCTTTAGACAACTCTGACCCCTCCCAAAATTTAGCACAGATGTAAGTTTTCAAATGCCAATATTTTAGTGCTAATATTAATACCGCTAATAACATTAGTATTTTAATAATACAAATATTTCAGAGTAAGTTATTTATGCAAAAGATAATACAAAGGTTAGTAAAAATCTGCCCCCTCCCCCAACTGTAAGAAAACTTTCATTACTGCAGGGGCTGAGCTAAAAGGGATAAGCAAAGAAATCTTATTGGAAGAAAAGGGACTAGTGGCACAATTGAACGTTATCATCTGTTGGATTTCAGGGGCATGTGCAAAATGCAGACAAGAAGCCAAACAATAGCTCAGCCAACTTGAGGCTGCCTGAGTTCTTAGCTCAATCTATAACAATGCCAGCAGGGCTGCTGGGATCCATCTGCTGCCCTCTTTCTGTTAACGGATCTGGGGTCTCTGATAGGAAGTAGCTTGATGGGAAGAAAGAAAGATTAGGCCAACTGAATATATCTGGATTTATGAAGCTGCACTTGAATGTGACACAGCTTTTTTAACTCTTGATGACATTTTACTAACCCTCAACACACCCCTGCTATTCTTTCTGTGTTCTCTGTTCCTTTCTTAGAGAAATGTAATTTTTGAATACCAAAGCTCTCCTGGATACATTGTATTTATGCATAAATTAAGCCCCCACGATTTAATACTGAAGGAAGGCTGGAGATCCTCCACTCCAACCTACTGGCTTTGCAGCTGAGGAAGCTGAAGCCTAGGGTTATTCTAAAATATATAACCAGATATGATAGAGCCAGGCTGGAATCCAGATTTCTTGACCTACAATGGATATGTGACATATACAGTTCTTTGCATTCCCGAAATGAGTAGGAAAAAGTATCATTTCTCCATTATAATTTAAGGGGTAAACATGACTTTTCCTTTTACTTAAGTCACTTTTCACAATTTGCCCTTTTGTCCCTGGAAGCAGGAGGGCTTTATCAAGAGAAATGAAGAGAAGTGAACAACACTAAACCATGTCAGCAGGGCCTGGAAGGCTGGGGGCAGGAATAACATCCCGTTCCCTGCTAGATAGATACCCATTGGTACTCGGTCACTCGGCACAGAACAGATTCTCAAAAACCATGTGGTGATTGTCTGACCCATTGACTGACTGACTGAATCACTGGTTTGATGGTTGTTTGCCAATTTTTCAGCCAATTGAGGAATGATGTTTCACATTAAGATTTTAAGCCTGCTGTGGAGACTCCTTATTCGTACAGTAAGTTAGGTGCTTGTATAAAACCAGAATCACCTTTTTCTGTATGATAAGCAGTGTGTCTGCTGGAAAAGTACAGGCTTTGAGGGTGAAAAACTTTGAATCCAGACTGTTCACTCTGGTTATTTAATTCTAGGCAAGTTATAGAAATTTTCTGAGCCTTAAGTCCCCTCCACCACCAGTATGTGTAAAATAAAGATAATAATACCTACCACCTCAGGGTCGTCGTAAGGATTAAATGAGATAATATGTAGAAACTGCCTTGTGCTATGAATAAATGTTAGTGCCCTCCTCATCGGGTTCCAACTGCCTATTTAAGAGTGATACGGGTGCTGAGAAGGTAGAGTCATTATAAATATCAGGAGGGTAAATATAAGATTCTAGATGGAAATCGAAGGGGTTTTGGAGGCTGAAAATATACATGTATCATCATTATCATTATGGTTATCAAGCAGCTGCTTTTACTGACGGCATGCTTCACAATAAATGTAAATAAAGCTCCTGTCATCTAGGTATTCTTCACATCCCATTATCCCTCATCATTTTGCTGGTTTCTAATAAAATAGTTTTCAGGAAAAAAGTAAATTTAGCTTTTTGCTTACCCGTTTTGTCTTGGTTTCCTTGTTCTGGGCTCAAGAAACTCTGTCTCCTCCTCCATTTCCATGTCTGGGATCACGTTTTTCTCAGAGGGCTGTGGTGAAAGCATTTCCCATTCATTCTCATGGGTGACAGGCTGCAGCATAACTGCATCTGGGCCAGCCTTGCCTTGGCTCTTGCTCTTCCGTGATTGGCTGTCCAGACCAGAGGCTTCCTCTAGCGCTAAAGATTCTAGAGGTTTCATTTCTCTTAGAACCTGCATTTGGGGACCTTTGCTCAAGTTGTGATTAGAGGTTGGCTTCACAGCCTTGCTGGGCCATCCAGGCCCTTGGTCCCTAGCTTCTGATGCTGGACTGCCAACCTCACCATGGCCCAAGACCATCCAATTCTGGTCTTGCCCAGGGCTTTCAAGAGATGATCTATTATCATCTTTGGAAGACATGCTCTCTGTGGAATGATCTTCTCTTTTATTCAAGGAGGCAGGCTGATGTGTGTCTGGGAAGCTTGCTAATTGAGTTCCTGGCAGCCTTGTTTGTTCAGAACCTATATGAAACTCTTCAAATTCAGATGTGCTTTCTCTTGCTTCGCAGGCTTCTAGCTTTGGGGGTGAATTTTCTTCACGTCTTACAAGTATGTAATCCATGTGTTGTGCCTGATGATCTTCATTCTTTTCTGTGTATCTTTCTTCCCTGTATTCTGGTTTTATCTGCTCAGACTCTTTGGTAGGAATTATTTTTTCTCCTTCCAGGTCTAATATTCTCTTGCTGGCACCTGAATGTGGAAGATGAAGGTGAGAAGGGAAGAACACGGCTTAATTAACACATTGTGTGATTTGTGATCTTTGCAAATGAACCATCTAAAGGGAGATAATTTAAGAAATATTTTAATTTTGTAAAGCTGTTTAATTTTCTCATTCTCTCTCAAAGATAGGTATTCTACAAGCAGTATAGATATTACTGCCGTAATATAGGATTTAGTTGGGCATGCATGGCACATACAGTTAGTTTTTTCTTTACCCACATTAATAGAAAGAGGGTATTTTGCAAATGTATTGATTGAATGAAAGCAGCAGATTCTGGAGGATGGAGGAATGGGATGTTTCTTACCATTTGGTAGTTCTATGTCTCCATCTGCTGGTGAATCCGAATTATCTGTTTCTATTTCCCAGTCAATGTTTGATGGAGACAACTCCATGTTGGAGTCGCCTCCTATAGACAAAGAAATTGACTCAGGGTCTTCCTGAATATGTAGTACAACCAGCTGGTGTCCACGCTGTCCGTTTGTGGTCTCGGTGTGGCTTTCTTTGCTTCTTCGATCCGGAAGGGCAGGAAGCAATATCTCTGCTGCTTCGCTCCGCAGAGACTCACCCTCTGGAATCCCAGCTTCCTCTGTTGTTTCAACACCAAGAGTAGGTTCTGTAAGACAAGACAAATCGAAGGGAGGTGTATATGGTGCCAGCGATTGTTTCAGAGCATCTTCTTCCAAGGGATGGTCACCACCATAGAGAAAGTGTTCAGGCTCTTTCATTAAATCTTCATCGATATTTTGGCCCATGACATCACATTCAAAATCACCCCACGAAGCTTCGGATGAACAGATATCTTGCTTGCCTGCATCCCCATCAACTGGTGTTTCGAGATTGCCTTCTGATAATGTCAATTTACTCATGTCATCTATTGTTCCTGTGGATGTGTTGAGGCCTGAGGCATCGCTGAAACTGTGGTCAAAGGCAGCTTCGCTTACATCCAGACAAGTGTCTAAGGCTAGCTGAGTGACAGGAACTAAGGCAGTTTTCTCTGTTGTCAAAGGCTGCTCGAGGGCCAACAAGGTTCCTGTGTCTGTCTGACATTCAGGAGAAAAGGCCTCTGAGGTCCAAGAGCTGTTGCCAACCATAGTTGGTTCTTGATGAGTTATGAAAATACTGGTTCCCACATTTTTAATCATTGGGATTGTTCTGTCAATGGGTTCCAAAGTTGGTGCCATATCTGGGTCAGTTCCCTTTTCTGATGCTTTTACACCTGTGTTGTTTTCACCACTTATTGCAGAAGGTTCGGGAGAACCATTGTGAGAGGCAGCAGGCTGAGATGAGCCATTTGTGTTTGCTCGATCGCTGACAGGAGGCAGTGGAATTATATTTTCAGAACATAGCTCTGAATTGTATGGGATGGATTCCCGCTCAGGCTCCTGACTGGGTTCCTCATCAAGCTTTGGCTCGGTGAGATATAACTCACTGGCTCCTTCTTGAGGTGTAATCCCAGCCCCAATGTGCAGCTCAGGCTCTTGCTTGGTTTCGTAATCATGACATATATCAGGGCTGTTGGAAGCCTGAGAATTGCTGTCCTGGTCACAGTGAGTCAGTATATCAGGATTCTCACCATCTGCTTTCAAACTGAGGGGCTCCTTAGCATCTATCCACAAGTCAGGGGAAGCTGAGGCCAGTTGCCCACCCTCTTGGAAGTTGCCATGTAAAATATCTGGAACAAAAGTGCTTTGGGAGCCCTCGCTAGGGGTAGAGGTGTCCCATTCAGCACCTGACTTCTTTATCAACTGGGTGGAAGAACTGACAGCAGGGAAATCTTTTGAGGCAATGCTTGAATTTGTCATTTCACTGGGGTATGATTTTTCTTCCTCCCACCAATTTGTTTCTTGACGCTCAGTAGTTGAGACATTAGAGATAATGCATCCATTTTCACCTGTGTGAGTAAATTTTGGATTTGGCTGATCCCAGATGGACAGCACTGTATTCTGACACTGCTCTTGGGTAGGTGTTTCAGAAGTGAGTTCGTCACCAGCAGAAGATGTGAAGGTTTGCTCTCTGAGATCTTTTTCTTTAATTTGGTCTAATATCACAAGCTGGCTAAGCTGATCAGCTTCTGGGTCTGGCTGCCTTAGTCGAATGTTCCAAAGTTGCTCATGGGAGTTCTCTTCATTATTATCCAGAAAGGGTGACTGACACTTATCATTGAAAGGATTGGTATAATGTATTTCCGTGGACTCTGTATCACCCTGAATGGGCACTCCCCACGGGCCCATGTTTTGGTCTCCTGAACAATTCATCTCTAACGCACCACCTGAGTTAGGTAATTCCCCTTCAAATGCATTCTCAGTTGGCCGCGTTTCCTGTGGAGAGGCATTCCACCACTCGGTACTCTCAGCTGAGAAGCCAACCATTTCCAATTGAGAATAATTTTCATTTTTTGGTTCAGTGTTGGGAGATATTTGCCATATGATATCTCCTGTCTTCCCTGTTTCTGGAGATGAGCGCTTCTCCTCATCCACTGCTGTAATCTGTATTTCGGTCTTCTTTAATGGTGAAAAATTCCAGTGATCAGGGCTGCTTTGTTGACTATCACAGAATGGGTTTGATGTATTCTCATTCTCTGCTGGTTCTGAACTGTCTACATAATGGATGGATAATTCCTCAGACTTGGGACCATCGATGGCCAAGAACTTATTAGATTCATTCAATGAATCCCAAGCTCTGAGTTCACTCTGAGCAACGTCACAAGTGGCCAAATGTATCTCTTTTTCCGCTGACTCTTCATTGCCTACACTATCATCATCAGAATCTGAGCTTGTTGAAATGGACCTGGCATCCTCTCGCTGCACAGTGTTAGGAATATCGTGCTCATTTTTCTCCTGTTGGCTAAGCATTAGATTTCTTTCCTGATATGTACCTGAATATTCAGAATATTTTCCTGTTTCAGGGCTGGATAAAGAGGAAAAGGAATCACCATCTACTGAATCATTCCAAATCTCTAAAATTTTAGGAACCTTGTGATCTAAGTTCCTTTCAAACTCATCCACTTTGTTTTTCTCCAGGTCCTTCGCCTCAGTAATTAATTCTACTTGGCCATCAGTAGTAACTGGTTCAGAATCCTGGTAATTCTGTTTACTCCAATCATCTTGATTTACCGTCTGATGCCCATGGTCCCAAGAAAGCAGTGCAGCTGAAGAATCATTTAGGTCAGGACTTGATGCACTTGAATGTGTATACTCACTAGAAATAGTGTCTCTGTCATTGTTTCCTAATGAACTGGCTCCTGGAGGGCTTTTTTCAGCACTCTTAACTTTAAGATTCTCATTTATCTCTGAACTTGTGCAACTGACCTGAACATCACTGTCTATAGGGCCATCCCAAACATCAAGGCTTCGGGGACATTCATGAGGTAGCTCTTGGTTCACTCTTTCTAGCTCCAGAATGTTACATTCTTCACTTTTCTCAAGATCCATTTCCGGCAAAGATACATTTTCTGTTAAATTCAGCCTACCTAAAATTTCAGTAGTTTCACCTGAATTTCTATGATTTGTGAGGTGCTTTTCACAGGTCCCCTTTGCCTGCAAGTGATTTGTGGACACTTCTGTTTGCATATCACAGGGGTCTGGATTGTAAGATCCCTTCTCATGCTCTAAAACCTCCTTGGGTTCCTCAGTCTGAGGACTGGAGGTGACTGAAAGAGAGCTGATTTTGCTTGACTCATTGTATATTTCTTGATATTCAGATGCAACTGGGGAAGAGCATTCCTGGTCACTTTGCCCTTTTCCAGAAGTCCCCAAGTCTCTATGCATCACTTCCTCCTCGCCTAGGTGCTCCCAATCAGTGGCTTTGTGGGCTTCCTTTTCACTTTCATTTTGTCCGTAGTTTGGGCCTTTCCATGGATCTGAGCATACAAAATGCCCTGAATTTTCAAGCCTGGTCACCAGGGTCACACTATCGCTTGGCAGGCTTCCTATGCGCGTGTCTTGCTGGTCAGTATCAAGTGTTCCTGACTCATTGGCTCCAGAGGCTTCTAGCATGTCTGGAATATGACTGTCCTTAATTTCTTCTGATGAGCTGGGAGTTTCAGGAGGCAACTTGCTTTGTCCTGAGTCTGTAACATATGATGGGCCTGGTAACATTAATGACGACATGTCGCTATCTCTCATGACAGAATCCCAAATACTATTTGCAATTAGCTGTCCACTTTTTTCATTCAATATGTGATATTCTTTGGGAGCAGTGTCCTTGCTATGCTCTGAAGAGGCAGGGAGTTCCCAATCTGCCTGATTTGCTTCCTGATACTCCACACCCCATGGTTCTAGCTGTCTCACTGAAAATCGGGTTTCAGGTTCGGTACTTCCAGGCAAGTATCCTTGTGCTTGACCTTCACCAGGGATCGCTACACCAGCACTGCAGTCATCCCAATCCAGATCATTATCCGAGATGGTCGCAGTAGACTGAGTGTCCTCCAGAATCACTCTGTTCCACAAGTCGAGATTGTCGGGGGCTGCCTGCCCGGAGTTGGTGTTGCTGTGCAAAAGTGTGAGCTGTCGATTTGTTTCGTTGTACAGCTGCATCATGCGGGGGTCGTCATAACTGGACTGGCTGCTTTCTCCAACGTCATCCTCCATGGAGATGTCCTTGTCATCTGTGGGCTCTGTCTTGAGTAAATCTTTATCTGGGTTATCAGTGGCATTTATTTCAGAACTATGATCTGCATGAGATGAAGCCCACATTTCTAGGTTCCCGGGACCTGAACTAATTCGATTTCTAGGTGGCTGCTGTGGTGACTGAGGTGGGATTTCAGTCTCCTCTGTGGTAGAGTTAGCATCTTTTGACTCAAAACCTCCCTCTTTAGCAAATGGCTTGTTTTCAGTTTCTTTTTCATCTCCAGCAAAGGTTGGCGACGTATAAGAATCAGAGGTGGAGTAATTGGTATCTAAGGGGGAAGGCACTGAATCTTCCCCTATGTTGGATGCACTGTAATCGGAACATTTATATGATAAGAAAGAATCTTCCCAAGGAGCTAGGATGTCTGACCTTCCTTTCTTGAGACTCTCTTCAAAAAGGTTCCAAGAATCTACCTTTTCATACACTTTCCCTCTAATTTTTGGATCCATGACACCACCCTGATCATCCTTTGCTGGCTTACAATTGTTCCATGCATGATCCAGATCAGACCTAAGATTTCCAGATATAAGGGCACCAGCCCTGGAGTCACGGTCCTCCTTGCTCCAGATTTCTGGGGGTGTTTCATTATTTGCCTCATTGGGTGAATTGTCCACTGGGTCTTCTGAAGGAAAAGGAAATCCACTTTTTGCCATGGCCCACTCTTTCGGGTCCCTTACAGAAGGTGTCTCACCACTCGCTGGGTGCAGATTCCAGGTATTTTTCAAAGCCTGGGTGTCGTTTTCTTTACCAAATGCACTCCAAGCCGGGAATGACACTGCAGTAGCTGGTTCATCGTCATCCGCGGGATTTCCCCATGGCTCAGGCATCGCTGTGGGAGAGCGATCAGAATGCCACAAAGCGGCAAAGTCTTCTATCAGGTGGTTTGTTCCCTGAGGAGAAGCGTTCAGCAAATGTGACTTTTCAGTGGGCAGGTTCTGAAACTGCAAGCCCTCCTCATTTTGGTCTTGAATATTATCACTGCCCAGCCCAGGCTGCCCAAATTCTGACTCCCAGGGACCCGACTTTGGGAACTCGAGACTCTTTGGCTGAAATATAGAATCTGAGGCTCTCCTATCAGCTAGGCTGGGTTTATGATCTTTCCAGGATTCGGGGCTCTGGAAGACAGATTCCTGTTCGCTGGAACTCCATGCATCTGCAATATTTTTAGAGTCAATTTCCAAACCACCCCACCAGCTGCTACACCTCGCACGAGTCTGAGGTGGCCCTGTGTGACCTGTGTCGACTGCTTTTTGGGTCATATTGTTTGGATAGAGTAGAGCTGGTTCTTCGATGGATGGTGAGCTCTCCACAAAGCTATTCATAGGTGTTGGTGGGACACTCTTTACAATATTTTTCAGCCTTTCTGGCAAAAAAGATTCATCTTGCACAAAACCTGTCAGGCTCAAATTTCTTTCAGTGTTATCCCCGGGACCTCCTTGTCTCTGGACAAAATCCTCATCAAATCCCACAAGGCTATCTTTGCCAGCCTTTGACAAAAGTGAACTGGATGAATAATTAGACATGTCCATCCCTACCCCATTGAGTCCTTTAGGCCCTGTAGGGAGCTGTCCTTCTGATGAATCGCTGTTGGGGAAGGAGTCATCTGCTGGGGAATAGTCTGCAGAATGGGAAGATGGTTGGGACTGCCCAGAAACCATGGGGGCTGAGTCGAAGTTGAAGAGGTCAAAGTGTTCCCCATGTTCCCCGGACCGTGCATGCTCCTCCACTGCTGCCCCTTCAGGGATGGGACTATAGGAGTCAAACCCTGGGAGGAGGCTGTGATGAGGCCCAGCACCTTCTCCCACTGGACTGTCATCACTGAGGAAAACTGAGCTCTCCTTGGATGAACGGCTGCTCCTAATGGTGGCCAGTCCACTATCTGGGCTAACGAGGTCTATGTTGGCATCCACCTGGGCCTGGTTAGAATCGCTGAGATCTGGAGGGTTTTCTATGAAATTCACAGAGTTGGGCTGTGGTTCTATGTCAGAGCCATACAACTCCATAATCCCGGAAGATCCCTGGGAGAGTGGGGCGCTGCCTGCCACAGCTTCTGTGGAGGATGTCCGGCTATTGGAGACCATCTCTGGACACCTCCTATTGATGGCTTCCTTGATAAGGAGAACCACTTGGTCACAAGTCACTGAAGGGTTCTCCTGTTGGTACACCAGGATCTCGTCACAGCCACATTCAAAGGGCTCCAGCTCTAGGCAAGGGTTCTGGCACTCTTCCAGTTCACAACAAATCTGTTGGGGAGACATAGGGGTTTGTGTGAGCACTCACGCACTCTTTGCTCTTTGCAAATTGTATTTCTAAATTTCTTAATATAAATTAATCTGTGTTCATTTGTCTAAAAAGAACCAAACAACTGAAAACTGTATCATATAAAACATGGAAAGTCCCACTTAATATACCACCAACTCTTTCTCTAGTCTTATCAAATTGGCATTTTGTTGATCTCAAAATCCAGCTACTCAGCATTGCTGGCTCCTGAAAATGATAGGTAAAGAGCTTTAAAATTATTTAAATCCTTAGCATAATATCATACCATCTTCCAGCAGGAA